CCAATTAAAACTGGGATTTAGAAAGATATGCGAGGGAGTTTAGCAGCATCAGCCGTGGACTCCATCAAACATATCATTCATTTGGCCTGTTCATATAAGGATCACAATTTCTCCTCACCTGTTTTAGCTCTGGTACATCTTCATCATGATGTGCAAAGCAATTGGAAATCTTCCGACCCCTAATCAAGTGTATGGTAGACCCCTTATTCCTAATTCTGGTATTCATTACCCATTTGCTCCCAGGAAAGCTGTTCAGAGATCTGATCGTAGAACCCTGAAGGCACGCATCCGGGAAACTCTTCGTGCTCTTCCGGCACAATTTTCGCAAAAGAAATTTTATCGGAGCAACAGGTTTCATGAAGATTCTTATCGGAGAAAAGGACTGCTAAGCAGTTATTCAGATACAGGGGAAAGTTCTGATCTATCATCTTATAGCTCTACAGATTTACCGGGGGTTGAGTATGAAGTTTTCTTGAGCTTCAGAGGCCCAAATTCACGCAAAGGATTTGTGGATTGCCTCTATCATGGGCTTATGGATGCCGGAATCCGTGCTTTCAGAGACAATGATGAGCTCCCAGTTGGAGGGAGGATCAGTTGGCTACTCCAAGCAATCAACAACTCGAAGATATGCATACCCATCTTCTCTAAAGACTATGCAGAGAGTGAATGGTGCCTGCGCGAGTTGGCACAGATGGTGGAATGCAGTAAACTAACTGGGCTGGAAATTCTGCCCGTATTCTATGACGCGGATCCGTCAGAAGTAAAGCTGAACAAGGGACCATATTTAGAAGCCCTCCGTCAACACAAGAAGAAGAATAAGCCCAACCTTGTGCACCAATGGGAAAAGGCTCTGAAGGAGGTTGGAAAGATCAAAGGCTGGGAGTTAGAAAAGGACACTAATGGGTAACTTTCTCAGGCCCTTGATGCTAATTTGTTTCATTACTTGTGAATTCTATTTGGAATCTTAGTTTAGTTCTCTTAATGAAGGACACAAAACAAAATTGGGGAATCCGCCAAAAAGAAGTACAACCAGAATTTCAGTCTCGACTCCTGTTTATTGAAATTGTCATTTTCTTTGTGTCAAACTAGAGTTTTTAACCTTATCTTACTGTTAAGTGACTGGATGGACTAGAATGGCATAACTCATTCTCTGAAATTCTGTTTGTCTTAATTTGATGATCTGTCTTATTGGACTATTCTCATCTCTCTTGCCGTCAACTATCCACATAATGCAGGCATGAAGGAAAACTCATAGAGTTAATAGTTCGAAAAGTTCTGGTTAGCCTGAAGGTGCACCATTTGAATGTAACTGACCAGTTAGTTGCAATCGATGACCACGTGGATAAACTCATGAGAATGCTGAATGTGGGTTCCAATGATGTAAGGATCATTGGGATTCATGGAATGGGTGGCATTGGAAAGACCACTCTTGCCAAGGTCGTGTTTAACCAGCTTTCAAGTCGTTTTGAGTACTGTAGCTTTCTCGCAGACGTAAGAGAAACATCACAGAACAGGGGTCTCGAATTTTTGCAGAATCAACTGATCTCACACATCCTTAAAAAGAAGGGTCCAGAAATTGCTAATGTTGATGAAGGCATCGACAAGATCAAAGAGAGATTCTCCAGTAAGGAAGTTCTTATCCTTCTTGACGATATTGACAAGAGAGCTCAGTTAAATGCGCTCGCGGGAAAGCGCAATTGGTTTGGTCCCGGTAGTAGGATCATTCTTACAACCAGAAACAAAGATGTGCTCAATGTGCCTGAAGTGGATTGGGCATATGAACTTGAAAGGATGGATGAAGATCAGTCCATTCAACTTTTCAGTAGGCATGCATTCAGAAGGGACTGGCCTCCTGATGATTATTTGGCTTACTCGAATAAGGTGGTGGACATCACTGGAGGCCTTCCTTTAGCTCTTGAGACCATAGGTTCTTTTCTGTCTGGCAAAATAAAAAAAGTTTGGGAGGACACATTGAAAAAGTTGGAAAAAGTACCTCGCGATGAGGTTCGGACAAAGTTGAGGATAAGCTACGATGCTTTAGATCACTGGCAGAAGCAGATCTTTCTTGACATAGCATGTTTGTTCATTGGATTTGACAAGAGAATTGTAGTTCACTTATGGGATGATGCTGATTATTTCCCAGAGGAAGGTATTGAAGTCCTTCGTCTCATGTCTATGATAAAGATTGGTGATGACAACAAGCTGCGGATGCATGACCAGCTTAGAGACCTCGGTCGAGAAATTGTTCGACAAGAAAGTAGCACGGAATTTGGGAGGCGCAGTAGATTATGGAACCATGAGGAAGCATTGCAGACATTAATAAATCACAAGGTAAAAAAATTTCCTTGTTGACCGTTGCCATAAGTAAATAACCATCCACTTCTAGGGGCTTACACACTCTGCTTGCATGATGTCAAATGCTGTTACGAGCTTTTACCAATGGCCTCCTTAAAATGCTCCAAAGTAGGAACAAGCTATTTTGCTGATCTATACTGTAGAGTCATCGTGGCTTTTGTCCTTATTCTGTTTCTTGTTGCATTTGTAGGGTACTGAAATGGTTGAAGCCCTCTGTCTTAAGTTTGATAGCAAGTCACTGTACTATTTCACTCGAGTTGACTTTGCATGTCTATCAAACTTAAGGTTCCTCCAGGTCAATGGCGTGAACCTTTCTGGTAACTTTGAAAATCTTTTTCCACAGTTAAGGTGGCTTTGTTGGCATTATTGCCCTTCAAATTTCTTGCCTACGAACTTTTATCTGGTAAATCTAGTCATACTTGATCTCTCTTGGAGCAAGATCAGCGAATACTGGGAGGGCTGGCATCAACTCAAGGTAGGACATGCCTTGCAACTCCCATGATCTTATTCAAGGTTCCATATTTCAGTATACCTATGTATTTATTGCTCTCGCTGTTGCTATTCTTTGCAGATGTCGAAGAACCTAAAGGTTCTTAATCTTACGGGATGTACATGCTTATATAGGAATCCTGATTTTTCTCCCTATGAAGCTCTCAAGATATTGATTCTTGAAGGCTGTGAAAGTTTAGTGGGAATCGATGCATCCATTGGTGGCTTAAAACATCTTGTTTCATTAAACATCAAGGACTGCCATTCGATCGAAGAGTTGCCTGAAAAGTTGGGCTCTATGGAAGCTTTGACAGAGCTCATTGTTGACGGAACCTCTGTACAAGAAATTTTTATCATGCCCGGAGGTATGAAGAAGCTCGAAACTCTCAGCGCCCGTGATTGCAAGTCATTGACCCAAATTAGGAGCTCCATCAGCCAGCTGGAATCTCTCACATACCTTGCATTAGATAATGCAAAAATCACTCATCTCCCAGACTCTATTGGAGAGCTAGTAAAACTCGAGCGCTTATCTCTGAAAGGTTGCAGGTCAATAAACAAACTTCCAGACACCATCGGGCAACTAGAGTCTTTGGTGGAGCTGGATCTATCCAGCACAGGGATGACTGAGTTACCCGATTCGATAAGCAACCTGAAAAACCTGAAAGTGTTGAATGTCGAGGGAAGTTACATAGAGCAAATTCCAGTTGTTATTGGGATGCTAGAAAAGCTTGAGGAGATGCATGCCAAGGGTTGCAACCTGGAGGGTGACATTCCTAGTGATATAGGGGAACTTGCATATTTGAGAATCTTGAGCTTATCACGTAATCGCATCCGTAGTTTACCGGAAACTATTTGCGGACTCTCTCATCTGCAGACCCTTGATTTGGAGTTGTGTAAAGAGCTTAAGGGGCTTCCAGAGCTTCCTGATAGTTTGATTAATTTACGAGTTAGTTCTCAGTCAATGGAGAAAACCCCAAATCTCTCCAATCTGATTAATCTGAGGCATTTGTATTTGTCTGACGGCTCTCATTTACAGGGGTTTCCCACCAATGACCCAACCAAGCTGGTTCAAGATCCTAACCCCATGTGGCTTGGAATGTTATCCAAATTGGAGACATTGCAGCTTTTGCTCTCAAAAATCACTACATTACCAGCTAATCTGGGTTTGCTTTATCGACTCAAGAAACTGGTATTGTCCTGCGTAGATCTGCAATCCTTTATTCAACTTCCCTCTAGCTTATCTACACTATATATAGCGAACTGCAAGTCTATGACAATTGTTCCTGATCTTTCAAACTTGAGAAATCTATCGGAGTTGGAGCTCCTTCACTCGGCTATATTAGAGATTCGGGGCCTTGAAGGGTTGGAGTCGCTTCAAGTTTTCGATGTGACATACTGCAAATTGAGAAGGCTTGATGGGCTTGAACGGTTAGAATCCCTGAGACGCTTGGTTCTACGTAACTGTGATTCCCTTGACAGATTACCCAATCTCTCGAACTTGAAGAAGCTGAAAGAATTCAAGCTACGAGACTGTGAGAAGTTGCTCCAGATCCAAGGACTTGATAAATTGGAGTCATTGGAAGAACTGCAAATATCCAACTGCAGATCCATTGGGAGTTTACCTGATTTGTCAAACTTGAAAAAGATGAAAGTTCTGGAAATTAAGAATTGTGATGAGATCAAGGATATTAGAGGGCTTGACAGATTGGAATCCCTGGTGGAATTGCAGATTTCGGAGTGCAGATCCTTGGAAAGACTACCAAATTTGTCGAACTTGAAGAAGCTGAAGGACTTGGAGATCGAGAGTTGCGAGAATATAAGCTACATTGAAGGCCTTGACCAGTTGGAGTCCTTGGAGAACTTGAGAATTATTGGCTGCAAATCTGTGGAAAAGTTGCCAGACCTATCGAACTTCAAAAGCCTGAAATCTCTGTACATAGAAGATTGTAAAAAGATACGTGAAATCGTAGGTCTTGGGTTCCTGAGTTCCATCAAAGGAGATAACTGTTTTTAGGAATGACACTGCTTTATTTTCTTCAAATTAAGCAATGGTAAGCTGTTTGTGCAGGAAAATAGGCAAGAATAAAGAATTTAAACGTTGATTTTTTTCTTTTTTTGATGGTGTCCTCTATTTTTGTACAACTGTATATGCAAGAAGACGGGATGAATTTATTTACTGTATAAAGTCCAAGGTGCTTATAAGATTCCCTTTGTTTTCTCAATGGTTCATGGGAGATTTTTTCTTGCAGTTCCCTGTCATACAGAAACACAGTAATGGAGTTGAAAGCTCAATGTATGAACCTTCTTGTATCTATCAGCACTTAGCAGGGTAATGATTTCCCTTTACACAGCTATTTGATTCTGAGTTTATTATGCTAGAAAGTAAATAGAATAGTTACTGCATAATCTCTTATAGACTGTGCTAATTCCCTGTTTAATTTCATCAATGCATATCATCCAGACTATGTCAATGCTTTCTTTAAAGCTGAAGACATTTCACTGGAAATATGGAAATACGAGCATCATACATTTTCTTCACATGAATTGTAAGTATTAGTTGCAAGCATATACTTATTTTGTGTTCAGAATTCACTATACAGTTTCGTTAGATGTGCATAACTGCAAATCTAGAGTATCCTTCTGATCTCTACTTCTTTATTCTTGCGCGTGGTAACACACATTGTGCTGATGCAGTTCCATGTTTTTCAGGATACGTCTGCTAGCAATGAAGTCGTCAGCTCCACCAATCATTTGTTGCTGCAAGAGCAAACGCCTGTAAACTGAACTATGAAATGGTATCTCAGCAGTCTTCTCCTGTTCACAATTGTGTATGATATTTGCCAAAAGGTAAGTTCCAACCTGTAGTTTGATGTTAACGATAATGATTCTCAATGATGTTTCTACTTGCCTGTGGAGTCTCGACATTATGATCTGTACAGTCTGAAGGTATTGCATCTGATTTAAGCACATCATCGAAACTCGATGTTGAGTGCAAAGTGAAGATTCTTATGTCGTCTTTCAAGCACACGAAGTGAAGATGCGTCTCCCCAAGCACACTAGCTGCAGAAGTGATTATGTACATAACCTTATAAGCCTTCAAATTACAGGACTCGGTCTTTTGTAGATCTAAATGTAATCCATCTAGTTATTTTCGGCATTGTCGATCTAGTAGCCTTCACATATTTTTAAGGTATGAGGCTCTATGAATAAATAAGAGATCTGTTAAAATTGTGGGTATCACTATAGTATTTATGCATATTATATCGCTATATTCGTATATTATATCTCAAGGTTATATCAGTCCTTAAACTCATGTTTTTTTTTAAAATTCTTTATGAGATTTGTTTTTTAATCATCTGACAAAGTTATTGTCTTTATGATCATTCAAGTTCATTGATGATATAATAGCTCGATATTCTCTAAAAGAGTTCTCGATATAGTCTTAACATACCATAATTTGGAATTAAAAATATGGTAAATATTTCACAGCTTCAGCTCGTAGATTACCAAAGTCAATTTGCATTGTGCATCCGTGATTGTCATTGAGAAGAGAGCGGCCATTTCCGCCATAGCGCGGCCTCTTTCGGCCATTTATATGCCTTGGGCATATACTTCAATGGCTCTTTTCTTTACTCAATCCAGCGATTGATGATTTGTATGAAATTGATGATGCAATGCAATGCCACATGCATTAGATTCTCGTGTTAGTCATGAATAATGATCTATAGTACTATACAAAGTAGGAAGAAAAAATTTTCTACTTTTAAGGGATTTTAAATATTCTAAAATTTTATTTTGCAACTATTGAATTTGTGAGCAAGCATATGAATTATAATTTTCCGTTATCTCTACACATGAATTGTAATTCTCCGTTATCTCTCACAAGTTTCACAATAGTAATCTAACTTTTCCTTTCCTAAAATAACCTTCCTAAAAAAATTCAAATCTCGAAATATTTTTGTCCTATATTCAAACCTTCCTCAGTGTTTTAGATATATGGAAATTTTCTCAATTTTTCTTTTATTTTCCCCCTGCCTCAGTCGGTCTTTCCGTTGAGCTTTCGTTTGTCTTGCAACCGGCGATGGCAATGCACTTCGACGCAGCTGAAAATTCCAGCGCTTACCCCCCCGTATTCCACTCCAACTCGAGCACGGGAGGAGCTGTCAGAGTCTGGAAGATAGCGACGGTTTCCGGGGAAATTTCCGAAGTCTCCACGCCGGGCCTCATTCAAGACTGATTCTTTCTTTGGATTGCGGGATTGCTTCTTGGGATTGGGCTATGTTGTAAAGTCAAAGAGTCCGAGGATATTCAATTTATAGTCCATGTTGTTCCCACGTCGGAAGCATCTGAAGCGAAGTTTCCCTTGTTTTACGTACAGTTGAGACATGTTTGCTTGCGGAGATGGTTGGGGAGACATTCTTTTATTGCTTTCTCAAAAAGAATTGAAAATCAATCGTGTTCCTAGTATCTGACTTGTCTGAGGAAATTGCATTTTTAGAAAATTCTTGAACGTTGCGCATGAAATTTCCGATACAGTGATTAGGAAAGGTAGTTGGGTTTGGCTGAAGTAGTTGGTTTGAACAAGTAATCATGGGAAAAAAGTAAACATTTGTTCTCTCTCTCTCTCTCTCTCTCTCTCTCTCTCTCTCTCTCTCTCTCTCTCTCTCACTTAATGTCAAATCCCATATGATGTATTGCGAGGTAGATTCCGGGAAAGTAGAAAGAAAAGTCATGTTGTATATCAGTTCAACAGATTCTGGGGCAGGCTTTTTTCTGCAGGTTGTTGGTGAAAAGGGGGCGCTAGAAGGTTTTACTGTTGAGATCCTCCTAATTTTTCTCGTCTGGTGACTATGCAAATGGATAAAGCCAATGTCATTTTCGAGACCTACATTATAAGAGAAATTTTATTAAGAGATTTGGAGGAAAATTTTTAGAAATGTAGTTAGAGTAGCAACCATTCGGTGAGTTGACTGTTAGAAATCCTAAAACTTCGTCCCCACGAATCTCTACTATTGGTTCGGAAGGTCTAGACCGTGTTGTGTTGGTGATCAAGACAGATAATTTGAATTCTGGCGGTATGACCAATTAAAACTGGGAGGGAGTTTAGCAGCATCAGCCGTGGACTCCATCAAACATATCATTCATTTGGCCTGTTCATATAAGGATCAAAATTTCTCCTCACCTGTTTTAGTTCTGGTACATCTTCATCATGATGTGCAAAGCAATTTTAAATCTTCCGACCCCTAATCAAGTGTATGGTAGACCCCTTATTCCTAATTCTGGTATTCATTACCCATTTGCTCCCAGGAAAGCTTTTCAGAGATCTGATCGTAGAACCCTGAAGGTACACATCCGGGAAACTCTTCGTGCTCTTCCGGCACAATTTTGGCAAAAGAAATTTTATCGGAGCAACAGGTTTCATGAAGATTCTTATCAGAGAAAAGGACTGCTAAGCAGTTATTCAGATACAGGAGAAAGTTCTGATCTATCATCTTATAGCTCTACAGATTTACCGGGGGTTGAGTATGAAGTTTTCTTGAGCTTCAGAGGCCCCAATACACGCAAAGGATTTGTGGATTGCCTCTATCACGGGCTTATGGATGCCGGAATCCGTGCTTTCAGAGACAATGATGAGCTCCCAGTTGGAGGGAGGATCAGTTGGCTACTCCAAGCAATCAACAACTCAAAGATATGCATACCCATCTTCTCTAAAGACTATGCAGAGAGTGAATGGTGCCTGCGCGAGTTGGCACAGATGGTGGAATGCAGTAAACCAACTGGGCTGGAAATTCTGCCCATATTCTACGACGTGGAACCATCTGAAGTAAAGCTGAACAAGGGACCATATTTAGAAGCCCTCCGTCAACACAAGAAGAAGAATAAGCCCAACCTTGTGCACCAATGGGAAGAGGCTCTGAAGGAGGTTGGAAAGATCAAGGGCTGGGAGTTAGAAAAGGACACTAACGGGTAACTTCCTCAGGTGCTTGCTGCTATTTTAATGCATTACTTAGGAATTCTATTTGGAATCTAAGTTTGGTTCTCTTAATCAAGGAAACAAAACCTCAAATTAGGGAATCTGCTAAAAAGAAGTAGAACCAGAATTTCAGTAGTGTCTTGTGTTTATTGATGTTGTCAATTTTTTTTTTTATCTGCAATCATAAATAGTAGGGATAATGATAGGGACAATCTCTGAACTTTGGCCCAATATGCAATTTGGTCCCTGAATTTTTAATTTGTTCAATATAGTCCCTAAACTTTAGCCTGATGTTCGATGTGGTCTCTAAACTTTTAATTTGTTCAATGTGGTCGCTAGACTTTTGATACATGTTCAATTTAGTCCCTAAACTTTATGAAAATGTTCAATATAGTCCTTGAACTTGAATTAATGGAAGGACTACATTGAATATTTTATATAGTTTAGGACTACATTGAACATGTACTAAAAGTCCAGGGACCAGATTAAACAAATTAAAAATTCAGGGACCACATTGAACATTAGGTTAAAGTTTAAGGACTATATTGAACAAATTAAAAGTTCAAGGACCCAATTGCACATTGGGCCAAAGTTTAGGGACTCTTTGTGTCTTTTTCCCTAAATAGTAATTGAGATGTTTGGAACTAAATTTTTGTTTGTGTTACTTTTAAGTCGCTGGATGGACTAGAATGGCATAGCTCATACTCTGAAATTCCATTTGCTTCAATTTGATGATCTTTCTTATTGGAGTATTCTCATTTCTATTGCCATCAACTATCCATGTAATGCAGGCATGAAGGAAAACTTATAGAGTTAGTAGTTCGAAGAGTTCTGGTTAGCCTGAAGCTGCACCATCTGAATGTAACTGACCAGTTAATTGCAATTGACGATGACGTGGATAAACTGATGAGAATGCTGAATGTGGGTTCCAAGGATGTAAGGATCATTGGAATTCATGGAATGGGTGGCATTGGCAAGACCACCCTTGCCAAGGTTGTTTACAACCAGCTTTCAAGTTGTTTTGAGAGCTGTAGCTTCCTTGCAGAAGTACGAGAAACATCACAGAACAAGGGTCTCGAATTTTTGCAGAATCGACTTATCTCAGAGATCCTTAAAAATAAGGGTCCAGAAATTACTATTGTTGATGATGGCATCAACACAATCAAAAAGAGATTCTCTGGTAAGGAAGTTCTTATCCTTCTTGACGATATTGACGAGAGAGCTCAGTTAAATGCGCTTGCGGGAAGGCGCAGTTGGTTTGGTCCAGGTAGTAGGATTATTATTACAACCAGAAACAAAGATGTGCTCAATGTACCTGAAGTGGATTGGGCATATGAACTGGAAAAGATGGATGGAGATCAGTCCATTCAACTTTTCAGTAGACATGCGTTCAGAAGAGACTGTCCGCCTGATGATTATTTGGCTTACTCAAAAAAGGTTGTCGACATCACCGAAGGCCTTCCTTTAGCTCTTGTGATTATAGGTTCATTTCTGTCTGGGAAAACAAAAAAAGTTTGGGAAGACACGTTGAAGAAGTTGGAAAAAGTTCCTCGCCATGAAGTTGAGAAAACGTTGAGGATAAGCTACAATGCTCTAGATCACTGGCAGAAGCAGATATTTCTTGACATAGCATGTCTGTTCATTGGATTTGACAAGAGAATTGTAGTTCACTTATGGGACGACACTAATTTTTTCCCAGAGGAAGGTATTGAAGTCCTTCGTCTCATGTCTTTGATAAAGATTGGTGATGACAACAAGCTGTGGATGCACGGCCAGCTTAGAGACCTCGGTCGAGAAATAGTTCGACAAGAAAGTTACATGGAATTCGGGAGGCGCAGTAGATTATGGAACCATGAGGAATCATTGCACACATTAATAAATGACACGGTAAAAAAATTTCCTCTTTGACCATTACCGAAAGGAAATAACCATTCATTTTAGGTGCTTACTCACTTTGCTTGCATAATGTCGAATGCTGTTTTTAGCTTTTATTAATGGCCTCTATAAAATTCTCTAAGCTAGGAGCAAGCTATTTTGCTGATCTATACCTAGACTTATCGTGTCTTTTGTCCTTAATATGTTACATGTTGCATTTGTAGGGTACTGAAATGGTTCAAGCCCTCTGTCTTAAGTTTGATAGCAAGTCGCCTTACGACCTCACTCAAGTTGGATTTTCATGTCTATCGAACTTAAGGTTCCTCCAGGTCAATGGCGTGAACCTTGCTGGTAATTTTGAAAATCTTCTACCACAGTTAAGGTGGCTTTGTTGGCATTATTGCCCTTCAAAATTCTTGCCTACCAATTTTTATCTGAGGAATCTAGTCATACTTGATCTCTCTTGGAGCAATATCAGTGAAGATTGGGTGGGCTGGCATCAAATCAAGGTAGGACATGCTTTATGACTCCCGTGATCTTATTCGTGGCTCCATATTTCAGTATACCTATGTTTTTATCGATCTCACTGTTTTTATTCTTGCAGATGTCGAAGAACCTGAAGGTTCTTAATCTTACGGGATGTACGTGCTTATCCAGGAACCCTGATTTTTCTCCCTATGAAGCTCTCGAGATATTGATTCTTGAAGGCTGTGAAAGTTTAGTGGGAATCGATGCATCCATTGGTAGCTTAAAACATCTTGTTTCATTAAACATGAAGGACTGCCATTCGATCCAAGAGTTGCCTGAAAAGTTGGGCTCTATGGAAGCTTTGACAGAGCTCATTGTTGATGGAACCTCAGTACAAGAAATTTTTATCATGCCCGGAGGTATGAAGAAGCTCAAAACTCTCAGCGCCTGTGATTGCAAGTCATTGACCCAAATTAGGAGCTCAATCAGCCAGCTGGAATCTCTCACATACCTCGCATTAGATAATGCAAAAATCACTCATCTCCCAGACTCTATTGGAGAGTTAGTGAAACTTGAACGCTTATCTCTGAAAGGTTGCAGGTCAATAAACAAACTTCCAGACACCATCGGGCAACTAGAGTCATTGGTGGAGCTGGATCTATCCAGCACGGGGATGACTCAGTTGCCCGATTCGATGAGGGAACTCAGAAACCTGAAAGTGTTGAATGTCGAGGGAAGTTACATAGAGCATATACCAGTTGCTGTTGGGATGCTGGAAAAGCTTGAGGAGATACATGCCAAGGATTGCTACCTGGAGGGTGACATTCCTAATGATATAGGGGAACTTGCATATCTGAGAATCTTGAGCTTATCAAAAAATCGCATTCATAGTTTACCAGAAACCATTTGCAAACTCTCTCATCTGCAGACCCTTGATTTGGAGTCATGCAAAGAGCTTAAGGGGCTTCCAGAGCTTCCTAGTAGTTTGATTGATTTACGAGTTAGTTCTCAGCCGATGGAGAAAATACCAGATCTCTCCAATCTGATTAATCTGAGGTATTTGTATTTGTCTGACGGCTCTCACCAGCAGGATCCCACCAGTGACCCAAGCAAGCTGGTTCAAGATCCTAATCCCATGTGGCTTGGAATGTTATCCAAATTGGAGACATTGCAGCTTTCCCTTTCGAAAATCACTGCATTACCAGCTAATCTGGGTTCGCTTTATCGACTCAAGAAATTGGTATTGTCCTGTGTAGATCTGCAATCCTTTGTTCAACTTCCCTCTAGCTTATCTACACTATATATAGGGAACTGCAGGTCTATGAAAATTGTTCCTGATCTTTCAAACTTGAGAAATCTGTCAGAATTGGAGCTCCTTCACTCGGCTATATCAGAGATTCGGGGCCTTGAAGGTTTGGAGTCGCTTCACGTTTTCGATGTGATATACTGCAAATTGAAAAAGCTTGATGGGCTTGAACGGTTAGAATCCCTGAGGCGCTTGGTTCTACGTAACTGTGAGTCCCTTGACAGATTACCCAATCTCTCAAACTTGAAGAAGCTGAAAGAATTTAAGCTGCGAGACTGTGAGAAGTTGCTCGAGATCCAAGGACTTGATAAATTGGAGTCATTGGAAGAACTGCAGATTTCCGAATGCAGATCCATTGGGAGTTTACCTGATTTGTCGAACTTGAAAAAGATGAAAATTCTGGAAATTAAGAATTGTGATAAGATCAAGGATATTGGAGGGCTTGACAGATTAGAATCCCTGGAGAAATTGCAGATTTCAGGGTGCAGATCCTTGGAGAGACTACCAAACTTGTCAAACTTGAAGAAGCTGAAAGACTTGGAGATCAAGAGTTGCAAGAAGATAAGCGACATTGAAGGCTTTGGCCAATTGGAGTCCTTGGAGGACTTGAGGATTATTGACTGCAAATCTTTGGAAAAGTTACCGGACCTATCGAACTTCAAAAGCCTGAAATCTCTGCACATTGAAGAATGTGAAAAGATACGTGAAATTGTAGGTGTTGCGATCCTGAGATTCATCAAATTAAGGAATGGTAAGCTTTTTGTACGGGAAAATTGGCAAGACTAAAGAAATTAAATGTTACTTTTTTTTTTCTTTTGTAATAGTGTCCTCCATATTTGTACAGCTATAGATGCCAAAGGACAGTTGACGAAATTATTTTACTGTATAAAGTCTGATGTGCTAATAAGATTTCCTTTCTTTTCTCAGTGGTTCATGTGAAATTTTCTCTTGCAGTTCCCTGTTATACATAATCAGAGTAATGGAGTTAAAAGCTCAATGCATGAACCTGCTTGTATCTATCAGCACTTAGCAGTGTAATGATTTATCTTTGCATAGCTATATGGCTCTGAGTTTGTGACACTAGAAAGTAAATAGAATAGTTACCGCATAATCTCCTATACTCTATGTTGATTCTTCTCTTTAATTTCAACAGTGCAAATCATGCAGACTGTGTCAAATAAATCAGCTCAAGAATTATGTACTCGATGTTTACAAATAGTGCAAATTCTTCTCAGGATTTGCTTTTGCATCTCTGATATTCCAGCATAATCTGGACACTGGATCACAAAATTCACGTCAAGTGGTCCTCAAGTCGAGTTTTCTCTTACTGTGAGTTTTGAGTACTGATGAAGGGTCAATTGCTATTTCAAGTCCGAGCTTTTAAAGAGAATCGAAGCAGACAAAGTGATCAGTTGATGGCAATACCAATCCGGTTATCATGTACTATTGACTGTCAGGGCAACTTCAAATTTAACTCTTCGCACACTAAAGAGTTATCCCGTGCATATTTCATCTCTTGTGATGAACATGTCACATTAGTTCTACGGGATTTAGCAATAAGAGACTTTCTCCAGATAGAACCTGGAATCACAGCATTTCCAACTTGGCACCCCAAAGTCAAGCAAGCCTGTATTGTATCTTAAGTGGACCATATAAAGAGGGGTCTTCTTAGAACCCCAAATGGCAGATCTAGCAACTTGCTACTTTAGTCTTTTTTCTGGTGTAAGTCTACTTCCATATAGTTCCTTTTACAAGGCAATTATATTAGGTTTAGCATCCCATTGCTTGCAAACTTTTTTCTTATTAATGAAATAAGACACCATACGAGACCGAAACGAGAAAGAATGAAGTGAGGATAAAAGAAGACCAGTTTGATAGGTTTGGGCGAGAAGCCATTCTATTGACTCCTCGAGTCGAACCCATCTACGCTCGCTCTCTTCCTTTCTTATCAGTCTGAAGTGGCTAGTCTTCAACATCCAGGTCATGCTCGTTAACTTGCACTTGTGAGAGTTGTATAGTAGATATTGCAATTCCATGAAATGTCCAGATTGTTCAATGTGCAAAATGGAAATCCGGGGTTCCACGCACTGCTGCGAAGAATGCAAACTTTTCCTCCACAAGTCGTGTCCTGAATTGCCTTTACAGATACAACATCCCTGTCAATTAAAGCAACCTCTCCTTCGAGTGGTGCCAGGCCTCTCACTAGTGCGATGCTCGGCAAGGGTATAACGGTTGGCCCTTTTGCTGCAAATCATGCGACCTAGATCTTCACATGAACTGTGCGATTGCAGTTCCGCCAGTTAACTTTTTCTAGCATGGCAGGGCCATATTTTCTTCAAATTTAGCAATGGTAAGCCGCCCACACAGGAGAAGAGGCAAGATTGAAGAACTCGACCGTCTTTTTAAAGATTGTCCTCTCCACTTCTGTACACCCAGAGATGCAACAAGATTGTTCCCGTGATAAAATTATTTTACTATACAAAGTAGGAGCTAATAAGATTTCCCTTCTGAGTAGTGTCATATACAAGCACAATGATGAAGTTTAGAGCTCAATATATTAGCATATCCTCTTGTATCCATCCACACTTACCACTGTAATGATTTATCGATGCTGCTATATGATTTTGAGTTCATGACACTAGAAAATAGATAGAACTATTGCAGCAAGTTCTCCATTAGTCCTACTTCATTTCATCAACGCGTCTGATGCAGACTCTGTCAAATGAATAAGCTCAAGAATTACATATTTGCATGCTTACATGCACACACAGATTCTTCTCAACATTTAGTTTTGCATCTCCGATTCCAGTTCCAGCATAATCTGGATACTGGATCACAAAATTCATGTCAGGCAGTCATGGAGCCAGGTGCTTTCTTACTTCAACCGAGATTATCAATTAAGTATCGATCAATTGTGTCCCTTCTAGGAGAACTTTCATGCCACAAAATTAAAGAGACGATACGACTGCGATTGATGACACATTCGATTTCGGTTGAACTTCACAATTCAACCACGCTAACAATAGGCCAACATTAACAAACTCACGACCGGTGCTCACGTAGTAGAAATCCCAAGAGGCCTTGATGACTGAATTGCCACTCTTCATGAAGCACATATTTTCGCCATGGAACAGTCTGAGATAAATACATTTTCATTTCCATTCAACTGAAGAGCAACTCTCACGCCTGCTCGAGCATGCAAGCTAAAAGGCAACACTCCCCAGAAATGCCATATTGAACGTAAGAGGTCAAGTATTATAAAACTAATTACATAAGCAAAAACAAGGTGCCCAAACTCCTCCCAATTCCATTACCAAAGCACTTCAGAGGAATACCCAACGGAGCCATTTCATCAAACACATGAAGCACGCTACGCACCGTTAGTGAGCACCCGCCACTAATCACCGGAATCCTTGTTGCGGAGCCGGTAGATGATGCGCCCTCGGGTGGAGTCGTAGCGGCTCACCTCGATCTTGACCTTATCCCCGGGCAACATCCGGATGAAATTCTTCCTGATCTTCCCGGAGATGTACCCGAGAATCACGTCCTCGTTGTCCAGGCGGACGCGGAACATGCCGTTGGGCAGCGACTCGACGATGACCCCCTCGTGGGTCCACTTCTGCTCCTTCATCCCTTGCGACACCTTCTTCTTGGCGCAGAGGGCCACGACGGGCCGCGGGGCGATGGGCCGGGAGAGGCACGGCGGCGGCGGCGGCGGCGGCGGAGGAGAATCGTCACGCCGGAGCGGATTGAAGAGAGCGGCGGGAGGAGGGGTGTGGAAGAGCAGCTTGTGGCTGCTGCCGCCGCCGCTGCTGGCGGCGGCGGCGGTGGGCATGCGAAGGCGTGCGTGGGGCGTGTTGGGGGTGTGGAAGAGAGCGAAATTCATGGCTGAAGAGCGAAGCGAAGGGAAGGGAGGGGCTTGTGAAGAAGAGAAGGAAGAAGAACGAAGTGCAGAGCGAGCTCCGTTCAGCGTCTCATCTTCTCTGCGAGGTTGTGTCGGAACGTAAGACTGGTTTTGGGTCGAACGATGATGTCCTCTCGGCCTCAGAGTTCGAGAGGGGAGCAATCGCCTGCGCTCCGATGCAGGGATGACCAGATACAAATTGGTTTCTGTGCATTTCGTTTTTTCAAATGGTAGGGGATAATTCCATCAGAAATCATAACATTTTTTCGTTTGATCAGTACCCCTAGACTTGTACCGATGACCCGAAAATACCTTCCATTAGATTTGTGTTTATAATGACCGTTAAAAATCCGAAGCAGCATTACATATGGATAATGTCAATCAAACGAATTTGATGTGACAATGGACGCATAGTGTAACATCAATCAAGAGCATAGTTACGGCAGATTTTTAACGGTCATGCACGATGCCACGGTGAATTTTCAACGGTTATATGGACGGAAGATACTTTTGAGTTGTTAATACGAGTTTGAGGGTATTGATGAGATGGTAGGAAGACTGGGAAATTTGTGTTCCACGAGGAAAACTTTATAATTTTTTGTGAGATTACTCCTAAATAATGAGGTGGCTGGTGCCCAATGATAGTTGGCGACCGACTAGTCCCCCATCAAGTGTGCAATCAAGTTCTCTTGCAATCAAAATATAATCGAAACTCACATATAGACTTAATCATGAACCTGGCGACACACGAGCTCATAGGCCCTACTCAAGTCATAAAGGCCCAAAGACAATTTTCACAAGCTTGGGCAAGAGCGGTTAATGAGAAAGCCCAGCCCAACCCGATCGGATCTTGACCAAGCCCGACCATGCCGGAAGAATCGTATTTCATAAATAAGACTTAGGTGATGGGCAAGCATAGGCAGAAATTAAGGCCAGCTCAATGATCACCACTACATATTATTGTGGCTCTAAGAAAAAGCGTAACTATAGCGATTCGAATCGAAACATTGAAGGATGAACATGAACACGCTATTACTTAAGTAACCTTGGGTTGTTTTCATATGCCCTTTTGTAGAACGTTCCATTCTCGTCCTTCCAGAATGATTAAGCGAAATTGGCCTATTTGAGGGTGGATGCTTATCTCGACGTCATCCATAATTATCGACTCGATTATGGCCATCAATCATTTAAAGTGAGTCGTGCAAAAATCGAACGGTTGTGATTACACACGGTTCAAGAATTAAAGTACAGAAAACTTAACTTTCCTATTGAAAAATTAACTAATAGGTCATTCAAAAGTCTTGACCAAAATAATCAATAGGTCTGTACAAGTGAAATTGAATAAAAGTGTAAAAGGTATCAAATTGAACCCATACTAATTGAGAAAAAAGAAAGGAGAAGCTCGAGAACCCTAATGAGAAAACAACACGAACATAAATTAAAGAACCAAATCTATGCTTACGTGGCGCTGCGCAGACTAGGGTGGGAGTTGGGATTTGGATTTGGAGCTTTCGGGTGAACCTATCACTATAATTTGAGAAATCACCACTCAATTTGATTTCTACTGAAATTTTTTTTCACTTACACAGTGTCTTAATAACGACCACCGACTAATTCCCAAATCAATAAATAATATATCTGTGAAAGTTAATACTTAGATAGTAACTCCTGTGGAGTCGCGAACACGCGCTTGGCAATACTCGTGCTAATTTCTCTAAATCTAGAGATCTTTTTATTCTTTTGTAGAATAATTGCATATATAATTATCCCTAATTTTAGAGGATCCCTATCTCTTGATAGTAAATAACACTATCCTTTGCCTTTTTAGGGAAAAAGAAGAAGAAGGCATTTCTGAAATTTTAGTGGTTGGGCCACGAGCGATGGTTCGATTTTGGTCAAGAATTGAAAAGCCCATTACCATGTGGAAGCCCAAATAAGCCCACGGTCTCGTGAATAGAGCAATGCACAGAAAATGCAACGCAATTGCAAGGGCCGCCACTTTTCCTCCCGTGCATGCTTTGACTATATGATATGAGATGCCTTGTAACAGAAAAAGATGAAATTTGTATAGTGAGAATATTTAATATATCACATTTTTCGAAGGCCTAAGATCGATGCGTGACAAGAAAAGATGCTATTATGTAAAGTTTGGACAATATATTTCGACGGAATTGGAGGGGAGAGATGGTAGAGGAGGGTTCGATCAAATACCTCTCGGCTTGGATTGGATAAGCCCGACGTGAGATCCACATGATTCGCGTGTGTGAGGAGCGTTTCACAAGGACCGACGTAAGCTATCATTAACCCTCGACAATGTTCAATGTGATGGGAAAGTGTGAAAGTTTTGACATTCGAAATCGGCCCGATGGCTCTGACTTGGAGCTCGCAATTAGCGGAAAACCTTTTTTGTTTTTACAAATAATTACAAGTAAAGCCAATGAAGGGGAGGGGTAGATTCGGCATCAGGTCTAAAGTTTCTTGCCTATACCAATTTATGGTTAGAAAAAATACACACCTTATGTAAAATCAATCAAATCAGGATTGAAGAATTAAATAGAGGGAGCCAAGAAAAAAATGACTAGCCAAAACTCGATGATTTTGCATATCGAATCGATTGGGATTGCTTGATCGTAGTGAGCCCCATGCCCACAATCATTTCAATGTGACAAAAAATTAGGCAGTTCTAACAGTTATAATCAGCCAAATGACTTTGACTTGAAGCTAGCAATTAGCATAAAAACTTTTGTTTTAAATAGTTACAAACTTCGATTGATTGAATTTGTATCAAGTAAAACTTCACGAATGGGAGGGGCAGCTTCGGCGTCAGGTCTGAAAATTTCTTTCCCGGACCAATTCACGATTAAGAAATAGACGTTTCGCGTGTGATCAATCAAAATCTAATCAAATTCGAGACGCAATCGATCGTAGCGGGCCACCACGCCCATGATTGTTTCGAGAATAAACTTCACGAGCATCTCGACGTACACGTGTGGGGCCCACTCTTTTTAATGCTTCGCTAGCATCTTTTTCAAAACGCTCATGGGAATGTAATCCCCAAATAATTGCAGCTCCATTTTAATAAACGAAATCACATGCAATCCAGCTGCTAACTCCAATCTATTGAAATGGCTTTGGGCAACAGATCCAACTCATTTCCCACGTTTTTGCTCTCTTCATCTACTCTCCACCGTTGATTTGTCCGCCCACGTTCATACACGAGGGAGATTATCTAGTCATATCCCTTTTGTTATCCTCCTATAAAGTGTCTTTTCATCGCTCTGTCGAAGATTTCTGTCGATGTCGAGATCGAACCAAGCTAATGATTAGTAGTTTCAATCGACCCACCAATAAGTTGCTATTGAGGACATGCAACAGAGGAACAACTCAATGCAGCTCAGCGATCCTTTATCGTCATACGATTCGAGTCATTTTCGATGGCTATATTCAACTAACATTCGAAACGAAGTTGGGTACTTGTCAAAACAAATGATGGACAAGTAGATTGTCGTTTGTTATCATAGCTTACGAAAGAAAAAATTTGTCGATGAATGTGATGGCTTAAGTTCACGTCGAAAGGCGCGCGATTGAGATAAACCAACTCTTCTACCTTCACTCCCAACTCTAATTTCTTACTTAGAATTTTACGACAACTTTCTTGCTCAATGTCTGAGGGATCTAACTTGAGTGTGAGCGAGTGATCGAAAAATATGGGCTAATTCCAAAAAGAGGCACAAACTTAATCTTGAGTGATGGCCCGAACTTTTTTTATCTCAATAAAAAAGCATTGATTTTTACTCTAGTCCCAAATCTGACCCTCCGTGATATGAAATTTTCAAATTATCCGTGCCAGATTTGAGATTTAAGTAAAAGTATGTGATTTTTCATGAAAAAAAAAAAATAGCTTAAGCCAGAATTGTAACTCAAAATAAAATTTGTGCTTTTTTTTGGAATTGGGCCCGAAAAATATTGAGGGCTTAGTTGGAGAGATTAGGAAAGAAAACTCGAAGAGAAATTTAAAAAAAACAAACATTAAGATTTTATTTTTCAGTTTTTTCAAAATTTTCACAATTTTCCACTCAAATTTTTCGTTCCTCATGTTTTAAAAGATAGCATCAACGTGGTCAATGGTTTGAATGGAGGATAGGCAATGAATTAGGTGGTGTCCAACTATTACACCCAAACAAAAGGAGTCTTGTTAGAGAGCTCTCCAACACACTTATTAATTTTTAAAAAAAAATTCAAATTTTCAAGAGAATTCAAATATGGGTCCGAACTCGATATATAATGCACCGTGCGCACATTATAATGAATATACAATACATCAAAAATCACAAAAAAAAAAAAAAAAAAGCATTCTCAACTCGATAAATAAGGAGCGTCGGCAGTTGCCATTCGAGAAATAAATTGCACATGTGGTCCTGTGCCTTCTTTTTTTTCTTCTCTTCTTTTCCTTTGTCTTTTTCCCCCACGATTTCAACGAAAGGACGCGCCGAAAAGAGACGAAAGGACGACTCCTTCCCCCTCTCCTTATCACATGGCCTTCGTCTTGATAAGTACTCCCAACTTTTCCCTGGTCCTCTCTCTCTCTGATACCTTACTACACCCGTGGTGGGGCCCGCCCAGGGACCGGACCGGTCCAGTCAACATCGGAGACAGGCTGTCATTGTTGGGGGTGGGGGGGCCCCTCCATCGCGACCGTCCAATGTGAACCCCGGGCGACGTGGGGCGGGGTGTGGGGGCCCCGCCACGTGGCTCTGCCTCCCGCCTACCCCGAGCCGCGGGCCCCACGGGTGTCCTGTCCAATCAGCGTGAAAGATGGTCGGGTCGGGAGGAAGGGGCGGTGGGTGGAGAAGGTACGATTTCTTCGTACCCCTCTCTCTCCTCCCTCCCTCGTGGGAGAAAAGGGGGGGACGATAAGGCAGCGCCGAAAAGTAAAAGGCGCTCAGAGCTGCTCGTTTCGATTTTCAACCAAATGGAAAAAAAAATTAAAAAATAAATAAAAAGCAATAATTGCTCGTGTATATTTTGAAAAAAGTTACTTATGGAGCTGTAACCGCGTTCGTATGGAAAGATATTTGGTAGTCGCTGCGTCGCCCGAGCCGGA